ATAGAAGCAAAAAAAAAACAAAAAAGAAAAAAAAAAAATAAAGTTTCTAACAGATAAACTGTTGATTTATGTTCCACTTAAAATTTACATCAATTTTTACAACTTTTTACACTAATTTTTCGATTAAATTTACTTTTTATTTGACCAAATTTTAACAAGAAAACGACAAATATGCTTCAGAGTGGCATTTACAAGTTGGAAGTATGCTCAAGAACTGTTGCCTAAACTTAATTATGTAGTCATTTTTTCGGCTTATTCATTTATGCATCGATTGTTTTGACAAAATTAAAAAAAAAAAATTGATACCATTGATGTATCAAAGTTAAAAAAAAAAAAGTTAAAATATTAGTCAACATCTGTATAGAAAACAAAATTTTTTTTTGATTGTTAACGTATTGACTAAACATAGCCGTAATTAAGGTAAGTATTCGGTTAGTCGTTGTCAGTTATCATTTTATTTTATATTTTATAGCAGCATTAATTTGCTGCAACGAATTGGCAGAGGTATATTTACTGCTTATTTTATTTTCATTTTTATTTTTTTGCTATATAAAACTTGGTTAGCAAACATTTTTTAATGCTTATCTGATTGACAGTTTCTTTTTTCAATGGATATAAATTCAAAAAAAGTAATTTTACAATAACATTTGTTACTTGTTGTAAGTTGTAATTCTCAACTTGAAATATTTCCTATAAAAAAAAAATTATTATTATTATTTTTTTAATATAGTTGACTGAAGAAGTAATTTATTGGTAGGATTACTTTCACTTAATTTTAAACAAATAAATTTTGTCTTGTCTAAAACTGAAAGCCGATAAAAATTTGCTGCCGTAACGGTAAAGACGGCGATAGCGATGATTACGACGGCAAAAGTTGGATAACGGCTGTTGGATAATAATATCGGTATCTTTTGATGAATATTATTGTTCATAATTTATACACACTAATCAAACCGCAAATATTTTGTTCGTAAAACCTAAGTTAGTAATGTTCAAAATTTAGTTTACAGTAATGCATTGACAACAGCTATTCAAAATTAACTGCTAAGAAAGATTGATACTTTGTTGTCAAATAGTACTTGCCAAATAGTATCTCAAATTAATTGTTAAAAAAGAATTTTATTACAAGTGTTTATCCTTTTACCACACTTTTAATCAAATCTTTTTATTCCTTATTCTAAGATACAATTTTTTTTTATAGAACTAAAAAAAAGACAAGAAAAACTAAAAGTTTAAAGACATTGTAAAAAAAATACGAATGGAAGTAACAGAATTACAAAAAAAAAAAAAAAAACCGAACGCTTAATTTGGACGCAAAAACAGTTTCCCAAAACGCATATTATCAACTTTTACTACGCAACTATACAGCTGATCAATCGGAATTTATATACCACAGAATAATAGAAATATGAAATTTTGATTTCTATTTCTTTTCTTTGATAAGTTGGTGACAAATGATATTGTTTAAAAAAATTGCATTAAAGCATTTTTTTTACTTATTTGTTTGTTATCTTTTCTTTTGTTCTTTTTTGTTGTTTGTTTATTTGAATTTCTAACTCCAACACATTACAGTAACATCTTCGTTTTCATTTTTTTTTTATTTTTATTTTTTAAATTTAACGGAGAAGAAAGTTGCGACCTGATTCTAAAAAAAAAAAAAAAAAAAAAAAAAAAAAAAAA